CCTCCTCAGGTATTTTAGGGGGAGTGGAATGAAATATTCCTTTGCCTTCCCCTTTTTTGTTAAACACTGAGCTGCCGGTCTCCAGGGATGGGACTCGTGATACCTCATGGGGTTGGAGGATGAAGAGTGACAGCAGCAGGACACACACAGTGGAGAAGGGGTTGCCAGCAGCAGTGACCTTCCTGGGGCACCATGATGGCATTCCCTGGAAGGGACTCCCCTCACTGGTTAGAAGTGTTACTGCACAAAGGGCACGATCTGCTTGCCACGAGACAAAAGCCAATCATCAAGAGCCAAGATGGTGGAAAAGAAAGGGCAGTTTATTACAGCTTGCTAGCAAGGGGGAAGATGGCCGACTAATGTCTCAAAGAACCATCTTTCAGAACAAAGACTACAGGCCAGTTATATAGAGGGCTGGTCTCTGAGTGTGGGAGGCATCTGGTCCCAGGCTGGGGCATCCATCTGATTACTGGGTGGAGGCATCTGGTCTCCTGGTGGGGTCTCCTCTGGTCTTTGTTCCTGGAAGTCTTTTGTTTTACCTGATGTGCATCAGAGACTAGAGCAATGCCCTACACCCTGATCTTTCAGTTGTCATTGATGATGGCTATCAGCATAGACTCTCTGCCTGGGGGTTGTTACATTCCTAAGAAACTCAAAAGAACAAAGTTATCAACTTATAGCAGCTGGGAGGGGCCATGAAATCCAGAGTTCGTCAGGGGTCATTCTAAGTTACAATATGGTTTCTTTTCTACAATATGGCTTCCCTTAAGTCAACCTTGTATTGAGCCAGTGTCAGAAGGAACATGAGGAACATGAACATAGACATGAGGAAGCCCCCCTCATCCCAGTGCTGCTGGTCCACATGAGCAATTTCGTGAAGGTCACTCAACCCTCATCTGCCCATGAGTCAGCTAATAGCCAGCACCTGATCCCCAATAAGCCCTGCAGGTTGCAAGGGAAGTCACCCTTCCACTCTCACCCTCCATCCAGGTGGTGGAGACTTTGTGATAATTTTAGCTAATTATGCCAATTTGTCCCCTCATTGAGGAGGGCCAGGAGAACTTTGTCCCCCTCTTGCTGAGTCAGGGCTGGCCAGAGTGGAATCTTGGTGTTCTAGGAGGACGAGATCCACAATTTAGGGTGGGTAGACTTGGTAGTACCCAAAAGAGGCAACAGGAAGCAGCGTAGAACAGTGCACAGTTCACCAAGCTTTCCCAGTTGGTAGAGCCCAAATGGGATCCAGTTAGCCAACCAGGCCATTACGGGCATCTCCTAAATCCCCTCCCACCTATGACTAGACTGTGCTGTTCATGATGCCAAGTGTTTTGTATTCTTTTTTCAAAAAGAATGCTTTTTGCATTCTCTTTTATGAGTGGGTCAGTCGGGTGTGGCCACAAGATGAAAGAGAGGAGCAGCTCAAGGAAACAAAGTTTATTACACTCCCAGGTCTTAGAGATGGAGGTATGGCTCACCATGCAGGGCCACATGGGGAAGCACCAGGAAAGTCAGGAGGCAGAAGACAGGAGTGAGGGGAAGATTTAGGCTACTCTTCTATTGGGGTTTCTGAGGGAAGGCAGACAGGGCAGGGTGAACAGCTTAGGATTGGCTAGTGTGAATAATTTTGGAGGGCTTTGGGCTATAGTGGTGGTCTGTAGTATCCTGGGACCTGGCCCTGGGAGGATTAAAGCAGAGGAATATTGCCTCCTGGGTGTATAGGCCAGCTAGAGGAGCGTGGCTCTGGATGGGTTAGTTTGCATTTCAAAGACGTGCTCCTGGCTGGGCCCTTTGCTGTCTCTAAGAATTGGCTAGCTCAGGGAAAGGCAGTCTCTCCCTAGCCAGAAAAGCATTTTTTTAAAAGATATCAAAACATTATAAAATACAGAACATAAAATATATACAACACAAAATTTAAATCAGTGGACTTTGAGTATAGCAGATTGTCCTCCATAATGTGGGTGGGCCTCATCCGGTCAGTTGAAGGCCTTAACAGAACAAAAACTGACCTCCCCTGAGAGAGGGAATTCTGCTGTCAGACTGCCTTGGACTCAACCTGCAACTCTTTTCTACGTCACCAGCCTATTGCCTACCCCCATCAGATACTGAAGTCACCAAGTCTCCACAATTGCATGAGCCAATTCCTTAAAATAAATCTTCCTCTGTATATAGACGCACATCCTGTTGGTTCCATTTCTCTAGAGAACCCTAATACAGATGCCTTTACTTTGAAGACTAACATGTACACAAGTAGTTTTTCCCTCGTTCATTCATTCTTATTGGAGAAAAGCTTGGGGTAGACTATTAAGGGAGACCCCTTTTTGGAAACCATATGACAAAAGCTTGAGTGGTTCACATTTACTAGTGCCCATCAAAACAAGAACGCTTCTTCAGCTCATTGGAATTCTGTGGCAGGTCTCTTGATTGAGTGACATGTTTATGGGCTCATGAGCTGTGGATGTCAGGATGCCATGTTGCTCTTGATATGAAACCATATGATTTCGCTATCAAAAGTTGAAGCCAAACCAGGGTGTGTTTTGTATTGTGCATGACCCTCCTCCCCCCATGAAGTACCTCTATGGCCAAGGTAGGGACTGACAGGATGATTATGCAGATCCTATGCCTATCTGTGCTGGTAAAGTGTGGGCCTTGGTAGAGACGCACTACACCCTTTCCAGGGATTTGGATTGCAATGTTCAGCTTTGCTGACACAACTGCAGTGATGGCAAAGGTCCTCACCAATCCTTTGACGTTGGCATTAAAAGTACCCACTGTCTCATCATGATAGGAAAGAGCAGATTCACTAAGTGTAAACTAGGCTTCCAACTACCGTAGCACCCCACAAGGCAAGAGTAATTAAGAGGTGGAGAGACTCCTTAAAAGGTTAGCCATGCAAAACCAATCTACTCCAGTGGACACTTTTCCTACTCAGTGTAGTCGGCAGGTTTAATATATATAGGTATATATATATATAGTTATATATATGTAGTTATTAGGTGTATATATATAGTTATATATATAGTTTTCTATATATATATAGCACGTGGTTCAGTAATGCTTCAATGACAGCCACGGTAGGAAAAGGTTGGACCTGGAACTGTATATCGAGCTTACTCAAATGAATACTTTCTTTTTCATCTAAGCAGATGCTCTCATAGGAAACAAGATACTGGGCCTTGAGACTCTTAGAAGTGAAGTGGTTTGTAGACAACTCTAAGCACCACATTTAATGTTAAAGCTGTCTTCCATCAGGGTTGGTTCAAGCAATATCTTTTGCATTCCAATCTTACCAAAGGAGAGGCTGAAACAGCAGGTGTAGTGGTGAGAAGGGCCACAAATGGGCACCTTGGGGGGAAATAGCAAATTGTTAGATATGTAGGAGGTTATACTCTTTAGGATGGATAAGTCGTCCTGCTAAGGTGAAGGAGTGTGAAGTTGCAAGGGCCTTATCCCACGAAGATGGGGGTTTGAGTGGATGGCCTGCTCTGTAAGCTACCTTGGGCGAGCAGAGATGGGTGGACGCAAGCACTCAGAGGGGCTTTGGGTGGAGGAGAGAAGGCATTGGGAGGACAAGAGAAGATGGAACAATCAGCTGCAGTCTCTTTTGACACTTGCAGTGAGGGAGTGCTGCCCCCACAGAAATGTAAGCCCTGGGACCACATGTTGTGGGGCCGGACTGGACTGCAGGAATCATGCTTGTCTTTCCGGCTCTGAGCCTGTTGTTTCTGGTCGCAGTATTGTTGATGGCATACCATCTTCCTGGGATAGTCGGTTTCCTCGTTGTGCTTGGGGATCCATAAAAATATGCTTTTGGCCACTTGAAGAGCTCTTGGCGGGGCAGTCCAAATGACCACAACCTCATAAACTGTAGAATGTGATGTAAACACAGAGAAGTGGTTTTTATTCTGCCTCAGGAATTGGGTCTTGGGTAACCAAAACATTGGCTGTCCTAAGTGGGAAGGATCGTCTGGGAGTCTATGAGATAACATCCAGAGAAATGCTCCCAGGGAGGACTTCAATATTTTGAAGATGGAAGTTGATAGCATGCCTGAGCTTCCTTCTCAAAATAGAATCATCTTGAATTATTTCTAAGCTTTTCAGGGGAAGGGAGAGGCCTGGATGCACTATCATTGAAGTCACATGTTGTGTGTATGTTACAGAGAATGACTGAGCAGAGCTTAGCGTCCATGACATAAACCAGCGTTTTCTCTCTCTGCCCTTCTCTCACAGAAGAGGGATGTTATGTCTAAATCTGTCACTGGGGGATGGGGAAAAAAGTTTTTATAATGGTTGATTTTCATTTGTGATTATAATTTATCAACATAGAATATGAAATTGCTGTCACCAGATTAAGGAGACAGCAGAACTGCATATGTCATCAGGCGTCGTAAGAAATTTATTGGCAAAAAGGGAAGGTGACCCATTCTCCCCCACCAACGTCTACAGGCCAAATGGTGCAGAAGGAATGAAATGCAGAAGGCGTGGTCATAAGAGATGCTTTCATAAGTGATACATTACCTAGGTGATGTGATTGTGGTGAGGTCAAAAAGTGTCGTCTAGGAACCAGATATCAGGCCTAGCGAGTGAAACTTAAGAGGAGTAGTTTTATGGTCATAATGGAGGTTCTCAAATGCTAAGGTTAACCAACTCACTGCCCCAGGCCCATAAAGGAGAAAAGGCAGCAGTTCTGGGCTCTGTTGATGGACCATTTTACCGAACAGGCTGCTGAGACCACTGACTTTGGGGTGAGCTTCTGCTAGGACCAAGGAAGCCCTGAAGCTGCATCTCCCCGTCACGTGTTCTTGATCTCATGTGGACCCTCTGCATGGCTCACATGTTGGCGTGGTAATAAAATGAGGTGGAGGTGACATTGCTCAAGCCCTGGTCATCGCCTCCCAGTCCTGGATGCAGCAGGCTTTGTGGCCTGGCCCATCACCCCTCTAACCCTTGTGCTTTCTTAACCTCTTCCAAAAGGAGACACGAGGTTCGTTTTGGTCTGAAGGAGGTATACTTCAAAAAAAGCTGTCTTTTATTAAAACAATGATTACAAATACTTCATTTGGCTTCTGTCTTCTTTCTCCCATCGCTCCCAGCTCAGAGGCAGCACTTGGCCTTCCCGCCGTAACAGGTGCCTTCAATCTTGGTGAAGAGAGGGCACGAAGAGTAGTGACAGGTGCCACCATTCCTGGCACAGATGTAGTGGTCAGACCTGTGGCCGAGAGCCGTCAGATAGCTGACACCTGTAATGAGGGAAAGAAAACACTTCAGACTCACGGCTTGCAGCCACGACTTCAGAACACTTGAGACAGCATGCCTGGCAACGCTGCAAAGCCCTTCAGAGAGTTTTCTCTTCCAAGAACTTTGCACTCGGTTGATCTTTGGGGCTGCTCGTGAAATAAGGCATCTGAAGAGCTCACTCAGGCTGAGGTCTATGCCAGCTGCAGCCCACCAAAAGCCAAGGATGAACAGCAGGGTTCCGAGTGGGGTTTCCTTCTGCCCAGAGAGCTTTAAGGTGTGCAGGAAATTCACTTTAGTCCCCAAATAAGTATTCTACCACTTTATGCTTCTGCCTCAGGGCACATGCTCTGTTTCAGTAATGCTGAAGCTTACTTCTAACTCCATGAGTAGGTCCTAAACTTCCCTTGTTCCTGTGCTCTTGAGTTATACCATTCCCACTGACTGGAATCCCTGCTTGCCCACCTCCCCTATCATGATTTCTGTTGAAATCTACTATCCTTTGATGTCAGGTTGAAATTATGGCTACTCCATAAAGCTTTCACCATTTTCTCCAGTGGAATTTATTCTGCCTTTCTCCCAGTATCACAGAATCTCATAATTAGATAGTCTCCAGACTAGTCTTCTACTGTATCCAGTAGAGAACAGAGCTGCCCTATGATATCCCTCATGAGTGACTAACAAGCCATTGTTTTGTACGCCTACACTGATAGGAGTAATGGACTGAATTGTAACCCCCCACCCCCGTTCATATATTGAAATCCTAACCACCTATTACCTCAGAATGTGACTGTATTTGGAGGGAGAGGCCTTTAAAGGTGTAATTAAGGTTAAATGAGGTCATATGAGTGGTCCCTAATCCAATGTGACTGGTGTCCTTATAAGAAGAGGAAATTTGGACACACAAAGAGACATGAGGAATTCACACACAGAGGAAAGGCCACATGAGGACTCAATAACAAAATGGCTACCTGCAAGCCAAGGAGAGAGGCCTCAGAAAAAACCAAACCTGCTGACACCTTGATCTTGAACTTCTAGCTTCCAGAATTGTGAGAAAGTAAATTTCTAAGTGACCCACACTGTGGTATTTTGTTAGGATAGCCCTAGCGGATTGATACAATAGGCCTCACCACCCTAGGATATGATACATTCTAATGTCACATATCTCTGCTTGTTGGAGAGATGATTTCATACTGATTGAAATTATCCTCTCTGTAACTTCCATCCAGTGGTAATTTTTTGCTTTTTGCAGTTGTCTAATCACTCTTTCAGAGGGCAACTCCATTCTTAGTAATTCTACTTTTTAAAAAGTCCCTTTTTTCTCATTTTTCTCAATGCCTAGTTTCTAGACCCTTCTCAAACCTCTGGATGTGTTCAGGTTTATCAATAGACTTCCTATGGAGGCCTGGAATAAATACAAAGTACCTCAGATATGTCCCTCCTACCAAGAGCAAAAGAGGCTTCCTCTCTCTGGTCTTGTGCACTGTAGAGCAATTTGTCCAATATGGTAACCACTAGCTACATGTGATGATTTACATTTAAATTAATCAAAATTACCCTAGCCACAGTGCAAGTGCTCAATAGCCATATGTGACTAGTGGTTACTGCCTTGGACCGTGCAAATGTAGAACATTTCCATCACCACAGAATGTTTTATTGGACTGTGTTGCTATGGAGATGCAAGGGAATTGAGAGACATTCTGGTTCTACCATCGAGAGAAGTGACTCGGGCCAAGACTGTGCAGTTGTGCACACAAATCATAGTCTCCTGATCTCCAGCCTGTATTCTTTCTGTACATTGTGTTGATTCCTATTGATGCTGTCCAAGATTGCGCTAGGTTTTAAGACCCTCATCACAACGTCATCCTCAAGTAAGATCATGGTCAACTAGATTCTCCAAATCTCCAATTCCAGCTTTTGTTTCCCTTCATCAAAGGCTTTCAGTGCTGGAAATATACCTAGTCCAACCCCTGCCAAAAGATCAAATCCCTCCAACAGCATGCCCTCCAAGTAATTATTTGTTATTAGGAGGATCAGTTTAGCTAATAAATTCAAAAGCTCTTTGAAATCATGAGGGTATACACATTATTTTTCTTGCTGTTGGTGGATTATGGAGTCATGACAATTCATGAGAACCAGTTTCTAGCATTAGCTTCAAGGATCCAGTACCTTATAGGACACAAAAGAAATAGCAACAAATTTAGTGTCAGGGTACTTTGGTTAAATTCTGTGTTGTAGAACTAATCTATATGATTTTTGGTAAACCACTCGACCCTTCTGGGTCCTAGCTTCTCAAATTTAAAATTGAGGAGACCAGATTATGTGATCTCATCCATTTCTAATATCCTAAGGTTGATCATCTTTCCTTTGGGGGGGGCGGGGGAACTAGCACATTTATGGTTGCATTTAATCCTCCTTATTCCTAATATGCATCACTTATTCCTAATTTACAGACAGGTAAATTGAGGTCTAGCAAGATTAAACGAATTGTCCATTATCCCACAACAAACAAACCATGTTCTGCCTAGTTCTAAAATCCGTACTTCTGCCACATCAACTCCCAGGAAGATAGGTTGGCTTCTTAGACAACTTTGCTAGAAAAGGTCGTCTTTGAGTGGTGCTAAAGAGAATTCTACACCAAGAATTTGGGATGAAGAAGGAGACAATATGGTCTCTTTACTATTTGCTTAGTTATGAAACTTGAGGAGGCAATGCACAGTTCTGGATTAAGAAAGCAGCAAAGCATCCCTGTTTCTATTCTCACTCCCTCCCTCCCCCTTCCCCACTGTGGCAATTGAGGGAGTGAATACAGGACCACATCTGTTTATTTAATCCATAGCCCTGTTGCAGCTACCTCATCTGATCTAGAGCTGTGGGTGTCTGGTAACTAGATATTTGGCAATGTTTGGGGACATTGTTTGTTGTCACAACTGTGGAGGCACAGGTGGGGGTATTTTATAGGCATCTAGTGAATAGAGGCCAGAGATGCTGCTGGATACCTACAACACAGAGAACAGCCCTCATAACAGGGAATTATCTGGCCCAAAGTGTCAACAGTGCCAAGGTTGAGAAATCGTGGTCTAGACCAGTGGTTCTCTATGCTGCATACACATTAAGATCAGCTGAGATACTCTTAAATCTATTGATTTAATTATTCTGGGGTGGAGTCTACATATGGGTAGTTAAAAAAACTCCTCAGGTGAATCCAATGTGCAGTAAAGGATTAAGAACTGCTGGATCACTGGTTTTAAGTTTTAGATACACCAAAATCACCTGAAAGATTTGCTAAACCACAAGTGCTGGGCCCCATTGTCAGAATTTCTGATTCAGAACCTGGGCTGGGCCCTGATAATTAGCATTTCTAATAATCTCCCAGGTGATACTGAAGCTGCTGGTCTGGAAAGGCACTTTGAGAACCTCTGGTCTTGTTTGACTGGTCTACGCTTCTTTGAGTCTAGTGACCTGCCCCATAGCACTTAGTTTTACCCTGGTTTTTACATTTATCTTTCCTTTTGTGTTAGATTTAACTGTAAACATGTCTGTCTATCCTAACAGATACGATGTTTCTTGACAGAAGAAAGGATGTTTAACTTGGAACAGGGCCTGCAAATATTTGTGGTATTTAAGTGCCTCTAAAGGTTTGGCGTCCAATGATAGTGGACTAGGCAGCCCAATTAGCGCAGCCAGAACAGCTGGTACACCTCCCCCGCACCCCACCCACCCCCCAACACATACCTTGTAGGTGTCAGAGAACTAACAGTAAAGAATAACTGAGTCAAGATTTGGGAGCAGACAGGAATGAAAGCAAGGACAGCACATTCTACCAATATAAAAAAATTTAAGGTTATTATAAATTTAAAAACTTGAATATTTAGTTTAAATAGAAAAGTAGAAATAGTTTTCTATTCATATATTCATATAGAAAAATCGAATATTCACTTGAACAAACTTGAAAATTTAGTTGAGATAGAAAAATTCCTAGAAAAATGCAACTTACTAAAATAAACAAACAAGAACAGAAAACCTAAATAGTTCCACAACTATCAAAAAAATTGAGTCCATAAGTAAAACTCTAAGCCAAGATGGCTTTATCGGCAAATTCTACCAAGAAACAAATAAGAAATAGCATCTACGCTACAAAGACTGTTTTTCAGAATGGAAAAAGGGATACCTTCACCAACTCATGGTGTGATGCCAACATGGTGTCAATACCAACAGCTAACAAGATCAGCAATGCAAGGAAAGGAAAGGAAAATGACAGGTCAGCTTCCCTGATCAGCAGAAAGGCAAGAATCCTAAATAAAATATCAGTAAACAGAATAAAACCAGGTTCAGTTTATTTCACAAACTCAAGGTTTAATTTAACATTTGAAAATCAGTCAATGCCTATTACAATAAAGGAGAAAAATCATATGATCATCTCAATAGGGTCAGAAAAACATCTGAAAAAATTCAACATTGATTCATGGTAAAAAAAAACTCTTAACAATCAAAGAACTGGAGGGAACTTCCTGCATCTGATAAAGAATATCTATGGAAGTCTGTATCAAACAGTACACTTAATGGTCAAACTTTGAAAACTCTACATTTGAGATTGGCAACAAGACCAGGATAACTGCTATCATCATTTTCATTCAACATTGTACTTGAGGTCCTAGCCAGAGGAGTAAGACAAGAAAAAAATAAACAAAAGGTATAAGGGTTGGAAAGGAAGAAATAAAATTTTTACTATTTGCAGACATTATGATTAGATGTAGACAGTCCAAAAGAACTTAACAAGCAAATTTAGCAGGTTTGCTGTATATGAGATCAATATACAAAAAAAGAAAAATAATCAATTTGATTTCTGTGTATTAGCAACTGACATAAAAAATAAAATTAAAATAAAAACACCACATAGAATAGCATAAAATATCGAATGCCTAGTTATAAATCTAAGAAAATATGTGCAATACTTCTATCTATAAGGCATACAATATTTTGTGATAAGTTAAAGAGGGCC